CTTAAGATACCCTCAGAGCTAGATGTAGCCATGTGACTAAATTCTGGCCTACTTCCAGGAAAATTAAGGCTTTCTTCCCTTCATAATTTTTCTGCTGCCTGGAATATGGATGGAATGTCTTAAGCCATCAGCAGTCATCTTAAACCATGGGATAATCCTGAAAAAGGAAGCATGGGGGTGCCTGGGTGGCTCAGTCGGTTAAGTGTCTGCCTTTAGCTCAGGTCATGATCCCAGGATCCTGGGATCCTGTTTGGCTCTCTGCTCAGTGGGGAGTCTGCTCCCTCTCTCTCTGCTGCTCCCCCTGTTTGTGCAAGTGCTCCCCCGCTTCCTCTCTCAAATAAAAATATAAAATCCTTAAAAAAAAAAAAAAAAGCATGTATAAGGCAGACAGACAGTACCTGGATCACCAATGACTGTGGAACGAACAGTGTATAGGTCCTGGACTGCCTCCCTCTGAGCTTCTTTATATGAGACAGTAAATCCCAATTTATGGTTCCTAAACTTTGATGAACATTAGAATCATCCAATGAGCTTTTAAAAATCTGGACACCAAGGCTGCTCCTCATACTAATTAAATAAGAATATCTGGGGATTGAAATCAGGTTTTAAAATTTTTCAAAGACTCTCAGGCAGATCCAAAGGTGCAGCAAAGTTTGGGAACTATTGCTTTATGTACGTAAGCCCCCCACATTGAGTCCTTATTACTAACAGCTGATTCTAAATCTGATATTGCATAAGTATCAGTTAGAAAAAAAAAAAGAATATCTTTATGGCTACATCCTATTACCTGTGTAGTTTAAGTGAAAACCTGCAAATGGAAAGACATTTTTAAATATCACTACACTGTAATTTATCATTAAAGTAGGAAGACAGAGTATATTTATTAAATACTCTGCTTATTTTTTAAAGCATTACTCATTTAATCCTCACCTCTACCTTATGAGGAGGTATCATGCATACTTTACAGTTGAAGAAATAGAAGCTCAGAGAAAACAAAGAACTTATTCAGGGTCTCACATCATGTAATTGGCAGAGCCAAGATACAAGTTCCTATTTGTATTAACTTCAAGGCTTGTGCATTTTCTTTGAGAACCCTCTAAAGAGTTATATTTTTTCTTGAGGAAATATTAATTTCATGAAAGGATAAATCTGAAAACCAATTTTTAAAAATGGATAGGGGAAAAGCATCCCTATTAAATCTGTACGCATTTCATAAATCTTGTGAACCACAAAAATATTATCAAGTTAATTTTTTAAAAAAATTTTTGCTCTTAAGTAGCACTAAATAAATGAATTTTAAAAATCAAGAATTTATAATTTGCCAGTTTTGAAAATAGATCTTCAAGAAGTACTACTGTTAGAATAGAGGAAAAACTGGCTATGAGAATTAAAATACAAAGAAACTAAATTAGTTAATGCAGTTACTTAACTTTAAATTTTGAAACAATGTTAATTTTAAAATGAACAGATTTTCAGAAGGGTTTCAACTCTTTCACTAGCTGGCTCTTTTATATAATTCCATTTATACCAAAAAGTTAATGTTGATTAACTGAAAGAAAAACAGTAACGAAAACAGAGGATTTGAACAACACTACAGATCAAATGGACCTAACAGACTTTATATAAAGAACACTCCACCCAACCATTGTAGAATATGCATCCTTCTCACATGGAATATCCCCCAGGACAGACCACATTTCAGGCCATGAAGCAAGTCTTAACAAATTCAAGAAGACTGAAATCATACAAAGTATCTTTTCTGATCACAATGGAGAAAATCAGAACTCAATTTGCACAAGTGAAAACCTGTAAACAGAAAGGCATTTTTAAATATTATTATACTGCAATTTATTATTAAAGTAGGAAAATAAATATTTATTGAGTACTTTGCTTATTTTTTAAGCATTATGTCATTTAATCCTCAAATATATGGAAACTAAACAACACACTCTTAATGAGTCAAAGAAGACGCCACAGGGAAATTAGAAAATACCTCGAAACAAATGAAAATGAAAATGCAACATACCAAAACTTATGAGATGCAGAGAAAGCAGTGCTAAAAATAATTTTATAGCTATAAATGTGTACATTAAAAATAAGATCTCAAATCAACAACCTAATTTGACACCTCAAAAAACTGCAAAAAGAACAAACAAAATCCAAAGCTAGTAGAAGGAAATAATAAAGATTAGAGCAGAGATCAAAACAGAGAACAGAAAACCAACAGAAATAATCAGCCAAGGGTGCCTGGGTGGCTCAGTTGGTTAAGTGACTGCCTTCGGCTCAGGTCATGATCCTGGAGTCCCGGGATCGAGTCCTGCATCGGGCTCCCTGCCCTGCAGGGAGTCTGCTTCTCCCTCTGACCCTCCCCCCTCTCATGTGCTCTCTCTCTCATTCTGTCTCAAATAAATAAAATCTTTAAAAAAAAAAAAAAAAAAAAAAGAAATAATCAGCCAAACTAAGTTGGATTTTTGAAAAGGTAACAAAATTGACAAATCCTTAGCTAGATGACGAAAAAAAGAAGATTCAAATAACTAAAATCAGGTAAGTGGGTCAATACAACTGATGCCAGAGATAAAAAGGATTGTAAGAGAATACTACGAAACACTGTATATCAACAAACTGAATAACCTAGAAATAATGGATAAATTCCTAGGCCTACAACCTACCTAGACTGACTCATTAAAGAAACAATTAATATGTACAGACCAATAATGAGTAAGGAGATTAAATCAGTAATCTAAAATTTCCCAAAAGAGAAAACCCTAGGACCACATGGTTTCACTGGAGATTTCTATCAAACATTTGAAGGAATTAACACAAATCCTCTGGAATTCTTCCAAAAATACTAAAGAGGAGGGAATATTTCCAAGCTTATTCTATGAGGCCCTGATAGCAAAGCCAGACAAAAACACTACAAGAAAACTAGACAAATATTCCTGATGAATACTGATGTAAAAATTCTCAACAAAGTACAAGCAAATCAAATTGAATGACACATTAAAAGGATTACACACCATGACAAAGTGGGATTAATTCCTAAAATGCAAGAATGGTTCAAGAATTAAGAAAGTCACATGATCATCTCAATAAATGCAGAAAAAACATTTGACAAAATTTAACACTTTTTCATGGTAAAAACACTCAACAAACTAAGAATAGAAAGATACTATCTCAACATAACAAAGCAACTTATGAAAAGTCCAAAGCAAACATCATACTCAAATGGTGAAAGACTAAAAACTTCTAAGATAGGAACAAAGTAAGGATGCCTGCTTTGATCTCTTCTATTCAACATGGTATTGAAGCTCTAGCCAGAGCAAACAGGCAAGAAAAAGAAATGAAAGACATTCAAATTGCAAAGGAAGAAGTAAAATTATCTCCATTCAAAGATGGCAGGATCTTACATACAGAAAACCCTACAGGTTACATGCATGCATGTGAGCGCGCATGCACACTCCCCCAACACACACACACACACACACACACACACACTGTTAGAATAAATTCAGCCAAATTGCAGGACACAAAAATCAACACACAAAAATTAGTTGTTTCTCTAGGCTAACAATGAACAATCTGAAAAAGATACTATGAAAACAATTCCGGTTACAGTGACATAAAAAAAGAATATAACACTTAGGAATAAACTTAACCAAGGAGTTCAAAAACTTGTACACTGAGAACTACAAAATATCACTGGAAGAAATTAAAGAAAACACATATAAATGGAAAGACATTCCATGCTCATGGTTAGAAGACTTAATATTAATACTGTTAGGATGTCCATACTACTGAGATGGACCTACAGATTCAACACAGTCGCCATTGAAATCCCATGGCATTTTTTTGTAGGAATACAAAAATTCATCCAAAAATTGATACAAAATTCCAAGGGACATGTAAATAAGCCAAAATAATTTTCATATAGAAGAACAAAGTGAGAGAACTCACACTTCCTCATTTTAAAACGTATAAGAAAGCTAAGTAATCAAAACAGTGTGGTACTGGCATAAAGACAAACAGACCAGTGGAGTACTATAGAGGGTCCAGAAATAAATCCTTGCACATATGGCCATATGATCTTCAACAAGGGTGCCAAGACCACTCAATGGGGAAAAGACAGTCTTTTCTAAAAAGACTGCTGGGAAAAATGGTTATCTACATGCAAAAAAATGAAGTTGGACCCTTATCTTACACCATGTACAAAAAATTAACTCCAAAGGGATTAAAAATCTAAGTGTAAAATCTAAAACTATAGAACTCCTACACAAAACAGTATGAAATTTCCTCAAAAATTAAAAACAGAACTATCATATGATCCAGCAATTCCACTTCTGAGTATATATCCAAAAGTATCAAAAGAAAGGTCTTGAAGAGGTATTAACACATCTATGCTTACCACAGCACTATTCACAAGAGCCAAGAGGTGGAAGTAACCCATATGTCCAACAGGGGAATGGATATACAGTGGAGTATCATTCAGCTTTAAAAAGCAAGGCAATCCTGTCACATGCTACAACATGGATGAATCCTGAAGACATTATGCCAAGTGAAATAGATCAGTCACAAAAAAAACAAAATGGTTCCATTTATATGACTGCTAAAGTAGTCAAATTGATAGAAACAAAGTAGAATGGTGGTTACTAGAGGCTGGGGTGCTAGGCGAGGAGGGAAAAGGGAGTTGTTTAATGGCTATTCAGATGAATTTCAGATGTGCAAAATGAAAAAGTTCTGGAGATCTGTTTCATGACAATGTGAATATACTTAACATTACTAAACTGTACACTTAAAAACGATTAAGATAAAAAATTTCATTATTTTATGATGTTAAGGTAATGTTTACTGAATTATCCCTAACTCAACATGGGAATTATTAAATACACAGAGTTTTAAAACACTAAAAAATCTACTACAATAACGCCTGAAAAAGCTTCTGAAAAGTGAGTATTTTAGATACTACAAAAGTAAGATTGTTAAAAATATATAATCCTACTTACCTTGGCTTGTCTCTTTTTTCTCTTTGTCTTTCAAAATCTCGTCCTCTGTCTTTTCCATCTCTTGGTTTTTCTTCTAATCTATCTTTTACTTTATACTTTTCTTTGTATTTTTTCCCCAGAACAATATCTTCCTGTATAGGAGGGGGTGGACTAGGAGTTCGAGGTCCTTTCTTTTTGCTCTGGTTGCCTTTTGAATTCCTGAAGGTAATACAAAACTATCAATAGAGGTCCAAATACTTTTGGAAGATCAAATGGGTATTTTTTTTTCATTTTAACAAAGCACACTTAAAAAATGGTATCAACACCCAGGAAAAAATACACAGAAATGAGCAAATAATTAATTTAACTTGCCACATATAATTTTAAAGGATAAGCTTCTGAGAAAGATAGAGGTGGAGTAAGAAGAGATTCTTTCAGAAAAAGAAATAACAAGAAAACTGCATGAACTGAATTTTTTTTAAGCTTATATAGAAAAGTAGATGTATGATTCCACTACCCAAGGATATTTTATAACATTTAGTGTTGCAGATGAAGACTACAAAGAGAGTCCATTTCTTTTTCCCCATGCATGTTACCCAGTTTTTCAGCTGGGATGACTATGAGACATTCTTCTTTAGAAATTAAAAATGCACCAAGATATATCTAGGTTTTCTTTATTTAACCTTCTCCAGAACTCAGTAAACCATTTCAATCTAAAACCTTAACTCTTTCAGTTCAATTTTTTAAAAATTTTTATTTCATCAATTCTCCAAATGGCCCAAGTCTCTATGGTTAGCTTTATTCTAGTTACTGCATCTCCTGGATCTCTCCTCCATGTCTTAGTTTTCTATTATTTCCATCTCTCCTTTTGCTTTCTCATATCCCAAATATGTCTTCAAATTCACTAATTCTTTTAAGCAGCTCTCATTCTACTTGTTCCAAATTTGGCAATCTCATTATTCTGCTATTTTCAGTTTCTTAAAAACTGTTTTTCTCCCAAAATATCTTTGTTCACAGATGGCTTTAATTTTCGTGTCAACTGGTCTCATGACGTCAATGCAATTATTCTCTCAAATTGTACTAAAATTATGAATTTATTATTTTTGTTTGTTCTTAAATTGTTATTAAACTTGTTCTTGTTTTCTCCAACACTGTTTAGTCTGGTGCTGAATTCTGAAGCAGTGCTCTCTTCATGTATCCGGTTCACCAGCTACTCATTTCACTCTCTTATTAGTTTTTATAAATGATGACCTAAGTTTATATCTTAGAACTTACTTCCTGTAACCTTGAGGTCTCTAATCCCATGATTCCTTAGCTATGAAAAGGTAATGGACAGCATCTTCCTCAAAATTGCTGGTAAAATTTTAAAAAGATAAAAGTATAAAATCAATGGACTCAGTGGGCATTCAGAAAATCCTTATCCCTATTTCTTATTATCATAGGTAGGGTTAGCTACGTAGCAAGTCAGAAATTACTAAAATATGATCAAATCTATTTTTCACTTTTGTCTTCTGCTATGAACCTTATGAGCCACATATCTCATTACGTATTTATGAGATAACTCAAACTTCTAATGTATCTAACAGATAAGCGATAAATGCCTGCATTTCTAAATGTTTTCTACTTAAAAGAAAAAACAACAGTTACTATCTATTAAAAAATTATTTTAAAGATAAAATAATAGAGGAATTCTTGATACAAACTGTATTTTTACATTACTTCCTGTGACAGGGACTAGCTATTTACTAAATGTTGTCTTTGGGACACTGTTGAACCATACTGTCTAGACTTTTTTGAAATCAGGTATGGCCAAGTGACCAAGTTCTGGCCAAAAAATGTGAGTAGAAGTGATATAAACCACTTCCAGGCCTAACTAATAAAAGACTCTCATACTCCAGGCAATTGTAAACTGTACAGCCAAGTAAGAGCAATACTCCAATTAATTTTTTTCTTTGCACATTCCATTTTTTGGTGTCCCCAAAACCCAAGTGGAGCCATGTCATAAGGAGCCTAGGTTACTGAATCCCTATGATAGGAGAGCAATGTATTAATCAGAACACCCATTTTGATTTTACTTCAGTGAAAAATAAACTTCTGTAGCGTTAAACTCACATTTTGGGATTGAGTTATTACAACAACCAGGATTACACCAATATACTCACTGAAGTACAGAATTTCTTCACATTACCTTCAAAAATATTGGTAGTTGGAAATCACAATTACGTTACAATATGAGGTTTCAAGTGCCTTCCAACTACATGGGTCAAAATTGGTTTTGCACATTCTGAAGTCAACAAGATCTTTCAACATTTTTTTAAGTCAACTGATTATTCTTTATTGGCAGAGCCTACTTCCTATTTGTGACATAGAGCTCAATTATCTACTTCTACCATTTTTAGATCCTTTCCTTCTCTCTCCTTAAAACTACTCCTTTTGAACAGCTTTTGACCTACTTTGTACATCTCTGTACAAAGAGCTATAAAGAAAAATTTACTTAATAAAAACTAAGAAACAATGCAGATGGACAGAACAGATAATACATTTGCTGATGTATCTAAGCCACACTGTATCTCACATATTAGCCTTAAGCTTGCTATCAGGATATATCTCACAATGAACATCAAAGAAAACAGCCAGCTTTCAGGGAGAAGTAGGAGTTTCAATTTGTCTGTAATTACGCTGCCTACTCAATATGATAACAACATAAGACCAAGGAGTCTATTTACTTGATTGTCACCTCAGATGACTTACTGTCATTGCTACAACACTCTACTGAATTTTTTTTAAATTTTTTTTTTTAAAGATTTTATTTATTTATTTGACAGAGAGAGACACAGCGAGAGAGGGAACACAAGCAGGGGGAGTGGGAGAGGGAGAAGCAGGCTTCCCACAGAGTAGGGAGCCCGATGCAGGGCTCGATCCCAGGACCCTGGGATCATGACCTGAGCCGAAGGCAGACGCTTAACGACTGAGCCACCCATGCGCCCCACTCTACTGAATTTTAACTGAAATTCTAATCCTTACTTTTTGCTTAATATGCCTTCAAACAGCTTACAGTATGATTCAGCAATGAAACCAGAAGTTGATGATTTGACACACACTACACAATGTAAACTGCATGGCTAAAGAAATGCTATACTCCTAGAATACAAGAAATATACTAATTAAATCAAGGTGAGCAATTATTCCTGCTAAATAATAAGAGGATAAATGAGTTACTAATAAAGCAGTAAGAGAAGACTATATGAAAAAGAAGAAGATGAAACTAACCCTTCATCCAGTTAACAAAACTTTCGACAAAGAGATTAAATTTCAATGATTTTATAAGCAGAAAGGATAAGGAAAAAAAGAAGGGTATTTCTGGTATGCTGGTTTTTGTTTTTGTTTTGTTTTGTTTTGTTTTTCAGAAATGGATGGAAGGAACTGAGGGATAGTTATTTAATTGGTTAGCCAAGTGGATAAAGAACAAGAACAAATGAAGTGGATTGCCATCACTCTATAATTCACTTCTTCCATATTTCTTTGCAATATTTATTCAATTCCAGGAGCAAAGGAGAGGACCAAGTCAGCTTTACAGAGTGTCTTAATACAATGCAAAGCTCTATGCAAAGTAGGTGCAGTGGGGAGAAAAAACAATGAACCATCAAGATCCAATCTTCAAGGAGCTTAAGTTTAACAGAGGTTCTAATACATGTATGCCACAGATAAAATATAATGCAAACAGTAATATTAAGAGGGAGGTATAAATAAAATCTGATAGATATACAAAAGGAATAGAAATTAGGCTCAATAAAGAGAAATGGAAAAACTTAATGGAAAGACAGAATTTGAGCTGGACATTGAAGAACTGAAGGTGGAAGAGGGTAGGAAGAAAACTGGACAAAAATATTAACAAGACTGAAAAGATCAAAGTATAAATGTCATTTTAAGGAATCTAAAATTTAGGGCACCTGGTGGCTCTGTCAGATAAGTCTCTCACTTCAGCTCAGGTCATGATTTCAGGGTCCTGGGATTGAGCCCTGCATGGACTGAGCCCTACATCGGGCTCTCTGCTCAGTGGAGTCTGCTTGTCTCTCTCCCTCTGCTCTTCTCCCCACTCATGTATTCATGCACATGTGCACGCATGTGCTCTCTCATAAATAAGTAAAATCTTTAAAAAAACAGAATCTGAATTTTATTCAACAGAATGGAAATCCATTGAGTTTTTCAATGGCATAGTAAATTAATTGGAATTGTTCTTTCAAGATTTCTCTTACAACATCTGTAAAATGAATAGGTTGGGGCTGCTGAATAAAATGTTTATGTGTGTAGGGGAGTGGCATTGGATAAAATAAATACAGTTAGTAGGATATAATAATCTAGGCAGAAGGTACCTGGAGTCTGTAGGGTTAAAGCCTCTAGAAACTAAAAGGAAGAAGACAGATATAAGTTTCCTTGTGGGTTCAGATAGACAGTTTGCCAACTGGTCATATGTTGGGAAGAGGTTTAGGTTTTTTTCTTAAAGAAAATTAGTATATGTGCTTTAATTAAAACAAAATTTAAATAGTATAGAGTGACATTAAGTGGGAAAGTGTCTTCTGTCTTATTATTAGTCCCTCAATGTAATCATATTTTCCTATTTCTATTTTTATTTCCTCAACTGGTTACTGGAATAATTCCAGTATCTTCATACTGCTATATATAGGCTATAAAGAATCTAATCTCAGAATGACGTGCACAAGGAGACAAGAAGAACATTCACTGTGTATAACTTGTAATAGCGAAAAACTGAAAACGTCAATGTTCAATAGCAGAAAAGTAAATATAGTATAAGTACTCAAATGAAAAAAAGGCTATATACATCAATATAAATATAAAAAATGTTAAGTGAAAAAGGAAGTTGCAGAAGCAAAGCTTTAATATAAGTATTAAGATTAAACATAAAAATAATACATATGAAAGTATAAACACACATGCACAAGTATCAAAAACAACAAATTCAAGAGGGAAAGACAGGATATATATGTATTATGTTTTATTCTTAAAAAATAAAAAGCTCTGAAGCATATGTAGGTGGGACACAGACATCTGTTTTATTGTTCTGTATAATTTTCTTTTAAATTTAAACTTTTTGTACCTTTTTTTAGAAGAAAAAAATTTACATTAAATACTGAAAGTATTGTAAGTACCCTTCTGTAATCTACTAATTCTTTTGAGTATCATTTCAGAAAAAGCTATTTCATTCTGGCATTATTTACCACCCTACTGACCTCTGCTGGTCCAATAAGGGTGAGGATACTGCAGCTGTCTTCCTGTCTTTCTTGCTTGCTGAAGATGACGACTTAGGGCTTGATTTTCGCTTTGGAGATTTGCTTGATTTTCTTAGAGAAGGTGATGGAGATAATTTTGATCTAATCACTTCTGGTGAAACCTTTTAAAAGAATTCAGTTAGTCAATTCAGAAACTCCTTCAGTCATGGCTGTTATAATCAGACAACAAAGTAGGTGTTTCTAAAACACACCAAACTTCAGATGAAATATTAAGTGCTATTATAGACACCATGATTAATCTGACTCCTAAACACATGCTTTTAACCAATATGATAATTAATTGCCCTAACTTAACACTAATATCAATAAAGCAAGCTAAAATTATAAAACTTCAAAATCTCCTCAGAGAAATCATAAATTATATTCAAATAAGTTGCATTTCTACTCATTAGAAAATAAACAAGTATTCTAGAAATAGCTTAGGCCTAAAAAACAGACATACATAGATTCAAATCCCATTTAACATTAGCTGGAGACTCTACACAATACAACCTCAGTTTTTTACCTGTTCAGAAGCAAAAATATTTCATATTTATAATAATGTGAAGATTAAATGATTGACTTATATGTAGCTGATATACAATAATTTGATCAGTGTATCAATATCCTAATACAATTTAAGATAGAGCTAATGAATTCTCTGATCAATAGCCATTTATTTGATGCTAATTATTAACGTATATTTCAATAAACAGCATACCTCTTTTTTAATAATAATTTCTTCTCTCTTGTCCATGTTTTCTTGTTCCAGCTTCATTAATTCCCTCTGTATCTTCTGACGCTTCATTTCCAATGACAACTCATGAACGTAATCATAATTAATATCTCCATTGTCAGAATCTTTAAAATAAAAATTACATTACTTGTCAGAAACTATTATCTATACCAAAAATTAGAGAAATTTTTTTCCACTAATTTTTTATACAAATTAAAATGGTAGATTCTTTCATTAGAATAACATACTTCTCAAAGATAAAATATGTACTGTTTCTATAAAGGATTAAAATCAACATGGTTGATTTCTTTATGAAAAGCCAAACATTTTTAAGATTCTTGGGTTTTCTGAAAGTGGTTTTGGGTTGCCTGGCGTTGGGATTTTGGTTAGGAGACGGAATTTTTAAAAGATACAATTAAAAACTAACATGTAAATTGTAAATATTAAAGATACCAAAGCCTTCAATATTTCATCCTGAATATGATGTGATTTCATTATCTCCTTGACTTTAAGGATTCATTAGTATTAAATGAAGGTTGCATTAGGTGTCCTACATTGCTTCCATATTCTTTTTTTACTAGTGACACAACTGATTTGTATCTAAAACTAAAGTCTGATAATTTTAATACTAATGTGTACATGACCTAATGTCTGAGGGAGCTGTGACATTTCCATTATAAGCGATTTGTACTTGTTCCTTAGATTAGAACTGCCTATCTCCTCAACAGATCTGATACCATGCCTTTATTTCCATTCACCTTTTCCAATGAAAAAAATATGATGGCTGGTTAAAGGAAAAAAAAAAAGGCAGAATGGTATGCAGCGCTATTTCATCACAATATGCCAAAGTTTTCAGTGGCTACTGGCACTGCCACCCAACCTCTCACCCTCATTTGCTATAATGCCAAAAAGCCTAGAGGAAGGAATTTCAGTGACTCCTATCCTAACACATGACAATGTTGGGCGTGACTGCTTAGGAACTGAAGTGTCTTCTCAAACGATAGTTTTAGCACTTAAGATCACCATTCCTTAACCTGGGGTAAAGAACTAAAAAACAACGAAGATAGGTTGTTCTACTTGATTGCTTAAAGCACAAGAAAATGAACATCAGGGCGCTTGGGTGGCTCAGTTGGTTAAGCGTCTGCCTTCGGCTCAGGTCATGATCTCAGGGTCCTGGGATCGAGCCCTACATCAGGCTCCATGCTCAGTAGGGAACCTGCTTCTCCCTCTACCCTTCCCCTCTGCTCATGATCTCTCTCTCTCTCTCTCAAAATAAATAAATAAAATCTTAAAAAAAAAAGAAAATGAACATCATTGTCATGTACAGACCAAATACATTATAATGCCAACTATCCATTTATATGCTTGGGAACTGAGAGGGTAGCTATATAGCCTCTAACCGTGTAACTAAATTGATTACCCATCTAATAGAGGATGATGACAATTTTTCAGTAAATATATAAAATAGACTAAACCACATTTTTCAGTCAGAAAGCAATCACTAAATATTTAAGGACATAAAGCTTTTACTAGATAAAATGATTAGAGATACTGAATTTTTTTTAAGATTTTATTTATTTACTTGAGAGAGAGAGCGCACAAGCAGGAGGGAGGGGCAGAAGGAAAGGGGGAAGCAGACTCCCCGCTGAGCAGGGAGCCAGACATGTGGCTCGATCCCAGGACCCTAAGATCATGACCTGAGCCAAAGGCAGACACTTAACCAACTGAGCCACCCAGGTGCCCCAGGAGATACTAAATTTAAGTAAATAAATAATGGCTATCTTCAGTATTACTGTGCATTCTGACACTTTGTATCAGTGAGTTAATAGGGTTCAAAGATTCAGTTTGATGGCATTCTTAAAATATTAACAGATAAAAATTCCATAACTAAATACTAAGTATGTGTAAAACAAAGGGAAGAATAATTAACTGCAAAGAGTAATTTATAGCATTTTTAAAGGTATTATCAATAATGTCCTGCGTCCCTCTAAAAACTGCTATCTGGAAATAGCACCAATATAGAACACATGTAAAAAATGAGAAGCTGGCTTTCAGTCCTTCAGTCCCCAACTACCCCACAAGGGGCTAAGCCTGAACAGTTAAAATCAATGTACTATAACTAATATATTTTGCTTAGAGGAAAAGCTCTCAAGTCTTCACTCAGATACTACTTATTCTTATTTTATGGCTATCTATTATAAACAAAAGGAAGATGTTTTCCTGGCCTATAAGAGATGAGCTACAAAATAGGCATGATGCAACTGACAGTCTCCTACAAAAAATGAAAAATGAGAAGGCACAAAACATAAAATGAAACTCAAAACAAAAATAAGTCTGAAACCCTTTAATAAATTTAGAAAATGTCTCTCATATTTTATAGCTTGAGGTTATCATAATTGCCTAATAAAAACTGATTCATATAGATGACTAGTCTAAGTGATTAGAAAAATATTAAATATAATTAGAATGTCATATTTTATAAGGCAGAGATTTTAAGAACATATATAATAGAAAAACACAATACATAAGGTTGACATTCTTTTTTTTTTTTTTTTTAAGATTTCATTTATTTATTTGACAGAGAGAGAGCACAAGCAGGGAGAGCAGCAGGCTGTGGGAGAGGGAGAAGCAGACCCCCCCCGTGGAGCAGGGAGCCCGTGATCTGAGCCAAAGGCAGATGCTTAACCGACTGAACCACCCAGGTGCCCCAATGTTCTTAATATATAATAAGCGTTCATAATGATTCAAAGAAGAATGAGCAAGGACACAAACAGGCAATTCACAAAAAGAAAAAAATGCAAATGATAAATATGGCTTTTTCATGTATGAAAGTCATTTTTTTCTAGTTATAGTATTAAGTATTAGCAAAGGTACAGATAAAAGGTATGTTCATTTTCTGAAGGTAACAATGTAAACTACTACCATCTATCTTGGAAAGTAATTTGGCAACATGGGTAAAAGCCTTAAGAATATTCATACCTTTTAACAATTTTACTTCCAGTAATCCATTTTATGCAAATAATCATAGACACATAAAATGTATATGTATATGGATTAAAGACTATATACATTTAAGTATTTCCTTTTGTCTTTAACCTATACACTCTCACTATTAAAAGTCTTAATTCTGGGTGGCTCAGATGGTTAAGCGTCTGCCTTCGGCTCAGGTCATGGTCTCCGGGTCCTGGGATAGAGCCCCAGAGCCCCATGTCGGGCTCCCAGCCCAGCGGGGAGTCTGCTTCTCCTTCTCCCTCTGCCTCTCCTTCTCCCTCTGCCTCTCCCCCTGCTTGTGCTCTCTCTCTCAAATGAATAAATCTTTATAAATAAATAAATGTCTTAATTCTTAAGTACACAGGGTAAAATGTGAAATTCCCTTACACTCCTCCCACTGCCATCCTTACTCCAGTGGTAACACTGTTACTAGTTTAGTGTTGTATACATAAAAATAAAACTTTATATTTATACTCTTTAAAATAATGGGACTAAAACTACACACACTGCCCTATAGAAATATCTTTCCAGGGGCGCCTGGATAGCTCAGGGTCTAGGGATGGAGCCTGCGTCGGGCTCCACGCTCAGTGCAGAGATGCTTGAGATTCTCTCTCTCCCTCTGCCCCTCCTACCATTTGCACTCACTCTCTAAAATAAATACAATCTTAAAAAAAAAATCTTTCCATGTCATGCGTAGAGATCAGCCATTTTCATTTTAACATCTGTAACGCATTTCATGATATGAACATATTGTAATTTATTTAATCAGTTTCTCTCTGACACACACTCAGTTTGTTTTCAATATTTTGCTCTATAAACAATACTTCAGTGAACATTCTGACAGCTTCCCTGATTCACAAGTGCAAATTATTTCTTTAGGACAGATTTCTCAAAATAGATTTGCTGGATCAAAGAAAAGCATAATTTTAATATTGCCAAACTGCACTCCAAAATAACTTTGCCAATGGAAACTCCCACTTCATAATATTAGTATTTTTCATTTTCACCCATCTGATGGGTGAAAAATGCTACCTTTTTATTTTCATTGGCTTTCTTCTGTAGTGAGCTGAGCATTTACTGACCACATCTATTTCCTCTATGAATTACCTAATTTTTGTTTTTTGCCCATTTTTCAACTGGACTATATCTTTTTCTTATATTTGTGGAAGTTCATTATATGTTTACATAGTGTTTTTGCTGTATGCTTACACGTTACACATGTCAAATACTTTCTTATGCTGATCTTTTAATTATTAAATTACAGTTTAGTTATATAGAAAATTTAAATCTTTGTAACTCAAATAAGGTCTGGGTTTGATGCCTTACTTCAGGAGAATGTATCCACCGCTAAGATTACCAAAATATGTTCATATATTTTCTCTTCTCCTGTAATGATACTTTTGCTTTTTATGTTACTGCACTAGTCCCTATGATAAATAAATAAGAGGAAGTTTAAGTAACCAAATAAAAAACACAGACTTGGGGGTGAAGAGTTGGAAATAAAGGAAGCAACCAGGTAATGAAAAGTTCTGTAAAATAAGAATTTGTACTTGATCCTGAAGGAAATGGGAAATACAGACTTTTTAAAAAGATTTTATTTATTTATTTGAGAGCTAGAGAGAAAGTGTGCGTGCACATGCACCAGCAGGGGGAGGAGCACAGGAGGGAGAGGGAGAGAGAATCTCAAGCGGACTCCTGCCGAGTGCAGAGCCCAACACGTGGCTCCAACCAGTGACCCTGAGATCACGACCTGTGCCAAAACCAAGAGTCAGACACTCCGCCAACTGAGCACCCCAGGCACCCTGGGAAATCCGAGTTTTAAACAGAGGAATGAAGTGAAGCAATTTATTCTTTCATAAGAGCATTCTGTAACTCACAGAGTGGAAGAAGAGATTTGGAATACATATATCTGATAAAGATCTTATATCCAAAATATAAAAGGAATTCTCAACAATTACAAACAGGTAATACAACAGAACAGGCAAGTCTGGAACACACAGTTTACGAAGCAGATTATACAGTGGGAGAAAAAGTTCTCAACTTCATTGGTCATTAGGGAAATGCACACTGAAACCACAGTAAGATACCAGCACACACCTCCAGAATGGCTAAGATGAAAAAAAACAAAAAAATACTATATAAGAAACAACAACCATTTTTAAATTATCTACTAAAGATGAACATATGCAAATTCTGTGGCCCAGCAATCCTACTCCCAGGCATAAACAGAAGAGAAATGGGTACATGTTTAGCAAAAGACATGATTAAGAATAGTAATAGCACTTTATTCATAATAGCTCAAAACTAGAAATTACTCAAATGGTTATCAACAGAAGAATGGATAAATTATGGTGTATTCATACAATGAAATACTATATAGCAATAATAATGAACTACAACTACGTGCAGTAAACAATATGGTGCAACCTCAAAAATATATTTTAAGTAAAAGAAGCTAAACATAAAAAGAGTAGTGCTATAGATTCCATTTATACATAGCTCAAAAACAGATACAACTAATCAATGGTGGTAGAAATCAGGGCAGGAGTTACCTTTTGGGAGGTGGGGGTTGAGAGGTGGTGACTGGAAAGGGAGCACAAGGGGGCTTACGGGATACTATTAACTTTCTATTTATTGATCTGGGTGCTGGTTATACAAGTCTGTTCTGTTTGTGAAAATTCAACAAGTTGCACACATGAATCATGCACTCTTCTGAATGTATACTATACTTTAGTAAAAAAAATTCTTTTAAGATTATTCTGACTTTTAAGAGGGGAATGAATTAGGAGACAAGATTAACCTCAAGGCATGAGGTTAGGTTATTTTGGTAAAATATATTTGAAGGCAATACACAAATATCTTAGTAACCAAAATATTAGTAGTCATGTAGAAAAATAGTTCTGAAAGATATTCAATAGGTAGAAACGTCAGAACTCTATAAATGTCTAGGTTGAGGGGATGGAGTATCAAATAATGATTCCCAGGTTTTGGGGGGCCTTGTTGGAAAGTGGTACTCTATATAAGGAAATCAGATAGAGATATCCAGTTGATAGATGCCTCAACTGAGAGTTCTAGATATTGGAGTCATTAATACATAGATGGTAATGATGCCCTAAAAGTATGATTTCATCTGGAAGGAAAAATTAAAATTGAGAAAAGGTGGCTAGGCAAAGGGAAAACAATTGAAAGCAGAAGCCACTTCTAGAAACAAGTGGTTCTCAAAGAGTGGTCTGAGGACTTCTGGGAACCCTAAGACAATTGTGGGAGTTTTAGAAGATCAAAAATATTTCTATAATACTATACTATTTGACCAGTTTATTATACTTTCCTGACTATATAGTGGAGTTTTCTAGAAGTCACATGATATGTAATACCATTAATAGACTGAATGCAGAAGCAGATATGAAAATCCTTATGTCTTCTATTAAGCCAGATGTTAAAAAGATTTACAAAAACATGTAAAACATTGCTCTTCCTCGTAATTTTTATTTTTAATTTGCAAAACATGTCTATTTTTTGTAAATGTATATGCTGGGTTTATTATTGTCATTGTTAAATAAATTCATAAATAAATATTTTAAAAATTTCTCAGATTCAATTTCTAATATGGTAAGAATTTAAACAGATAATCCACCAGGTCAAAAGTTGTTTGGGGGGGTGGCACAGTCGATTACACATCCGACTCTTGGTCTTGGCTCAGGTCCTGACCTCAGGATGGCTGAGACTGAGCCCTGCATCAGGTTCCACACTCAGCACAGAGTCTGCTCAAGACTCTCTCTCCCTCTCCCCCTTTCCCCCTACTTGTGCCCTCTTTCTCTTCTCCCTTTCTCAAATAAATAAATCTAAAAAAAAAAAAAAAGCTGTCTGGGATCCTTTAAAAAAGTGAAAAGTGTCCTAAGACCAAAAAGTTTGAGAAATATTGGTATAGAACAATTTCTTCTGAGTCTGGCTAAAACTGCTACTCATTTTAGATTGAAAATGTAGAAGGAAAGCCTATTAAACTAGTTCACAGTCTCAGCATCTGGGGATTGAGATGGCTAAATCCATGCGTCAATATTCCTTCAAGCATATCTTTAATATATAGAGATAAATGATCAAAACCTTTGAGTTCTAATCAAGAGAAACTGTAATAAATAGCCATGTGTATATTTTATATGTGAAACTATATATAAAAGGCATCTACTCACCTTTTAAAGGAATTTTGTACATAAAAGGCTCTTGTAGTAAAATCACTTTAGTTTTTTTTTAAAGATGACAGTCTAGAGCAAAGCCTTGGGAAGCAACATTTAAGAGAGATAAAATATAAGGAACCTCTGTAGAAGACTGAAGGGCTTCAAAGGAAGACAGAAAACCTGAAGAGGGATAGATAGATGAAATCCAAGGGGAAAGTGCTTCCAGAAGACAGAGGCTCTCAAATGCTGCAGAGAGATTACAGAAGAGAGACAAGTAGGTCTCCGTTCATTTAGCAAAGAGGAGGTTATTAGTAATTCTGAAGAGCAGTTTTAGTGAAGACATGGGTCAGAAAACGGAGTTAACTATTGAGGTGAAAAAGTAAAGACAATAAGGTACAGAACTACTTCAAGAATTTAGTTGTAAAGTGGGGATTAGCAGGGTAATGGCTGAAAGTCACATGGAGAGAAGAGAAAAAGTATCCAGATGGATGTTAAAGATACATAAAAGAGAATGTATGCTAAATGAACAAGACTTCAGAGGGGGGGAGGAAATCGGATCCAGAATATAGGGAAATACAACCTTATACAGAAGGGAGGCTTCTTACATAGAGCAAAAGGGAAATAGTAAAGTTCAGGTGGGAAAAGGAGACTAATTTGGAAGTATGACAGAGGAAGTTGAGGGAGTTAGTGGACGGTAAGTTGCATGGTCTATGTGTAGTAAACAGCAGACAGGAACTATGAACGGTTCATTGGGAAATTTAAGGAGAGGGTTTGAAATAGCTATTATGAAAACAAGGAGAGAACTGTCTTAAGCTTTTCCAAACCATTTAAACGGGAACAGAAATTTTTGTTTTTAAAGATAAGACGTATCTAGTACATTTCAGAGTGTTTTTTTTATCCAAAAATAACTAAAATCAAAAGAATGCTGAGTGTGTTGAGTTAATCCTTTCATACTTAGGAAAAGTTCACTATCCAAGTAAAGGTTTGTAATATTTTATTTCAGTATATTAACAACTTAATTAACTACAATGGGACATTTTAGCTGCTTCTATTTTGTAGGAGGTATTAAATTGGCTTATGAAATCCCAATAAAGTAATCATAGGGAAGTTTCCTATCTATTTTTAGCAGTAAGTTTTAAGTAGACAACACTGTCCAAAGATGGAATGGATTTCCTTAAAAAATACTGATGTTCGAATTACTGGAGAGGCATTTAGCACACTTTTCACACATCAGAATACAAGTCCTCAGAGACTGTTTTAAATGTAAGAGTAAATATTTTAGGCTTACAGGCTCTTGGCTCTCACAGATGTCTATGCATCCACTGTAGCTAAAAAGCAGCTACAGAAAATATGTAACCAAATGGGCATGGCTGTGTTCCAACAAAACTTTATTTGCAAAAACAGGTGGCTGGCCCACAAGCTTTTGTTTTTTAACTCCTGGTCTAAGTTATCAGTTTACTGTTAAGGAAGTTGCTTAAATTCTCATACTCTTTAGTTTTGTCATCTGTAAGTACAATAACAAAGCTACTGAATTAATAAGGTAATTACATAAATTATATTAAAATGCCCAGCACACCCAAAGCATTCAACAAATGTGAGTTCTCTTTCTCTATATTTGATAGTGTGAGGCTACAGTGCTCACCTTCAGAATGTCACAGAAATGAAGAAGAGAGAATATTCATGGTGTGGAAAACAAATGCTAATTTGTTAAGACAATGATGAAAAGATGATTTTGCTGTTTTTCATCAACAAATCCCTGATATCAATTATTCAAACTGGGTTTCTTCTGAAAGATGAAAGTCTACAAAATTTCTTGGAAATAATTTTCCCAGATCCTTAAGATTTAAAAATCTCATTTTAATATTTTATGTGAAAAACAAAATTTAGACATAATTTTTTTTAACCTTGGTATTGAGGAACTAAAAAAACTTAGAAAAGTAATACAATTTCAAAGGACTGTGATGCTGCCCAATATAGTTCTAGGGGGAAAAAGGATGGGGAAGTTGAAAAATGCAGTGTGAACAGCTTTCTCTGCCTTTGTTCCGCTACCATAAGCCATTTTCTGTATTCTAACTCAGTAAGGTAGAAACAAGGCAATAAGATGATTCTGAAACAACAAGGAGATCACAGTTGCAAAGTGTTTTGAAGCCCCAAAAATCGACAAAGTAAATAATCAATAAATTGACGATATAAACAAAGATTTTTTGAAACTCACCATCTCTATTAGTTTCCCATTCTACATTTTCTTCTTCACTTTCTGGAGTTCTCTCCTTAGTGATTTTTATGTCTTCCTTTTCCCTATGTCTCCCTCTTGAAGATTCTTTCTAGAAAGTATATACATACATACATATTACTATATTTAAAAAAAATTATGAGATAGTTACTATAATACAGAATATTTCTAGCTTCATTTTTTTTTAATCTGTTTTGCAGAAATCACTTATCCACTAAGCAAAAAAAGTGACAAGTTCTAGCATTAGCACTGCAATGAGAATACTATTTTATTAAAGAACAGCAACATAGTAAAAAGAATAACTGAGATTTTAAAAGATACAATGCAAATATTTAATAAGCACTGGATAGTCTACAACATACCAAGTTTCTATTTCTAAGTTTCTAGGGGAAAAAACTGTTTAAAAGGGATAAAATAAACAAAAGGACTGATTAAGTGACTACATTAAAAAAGGACGAAAAAACAGCTACACTGTTCATAGTAGATTATCAAAAATAATTACTAATCTAAAACTTGTCATATACTAATATAGCAGCATTTCCCTATACACCTAAAGATAAATCCAAACTCATTTGATAATTTTATAAATGCTTTTTAAAAAAGATTTTTCCCTATTTTGATGAAACCAAAATGGTAGCTAAAACGAAAATTAGTCCTTATACTGTAGCTAAAAAACAGAAAATTCTACATTTTATTCCAAGTTTAACAGTATCCTACAGACAAAACAGGACAATAGTAATTTAGCTGATAACATTTAATTAAATATCCTATTACATAAAAACTCCACAAACAACATTTTACTAAGTGGTAAGAAAATAAAGTAACCAGTGTTATGGAATTGTTACCCTCCTACCACAGTGTCTCACTTTTATTAAGTTTAAATCCTGCCTATGAAAGAAACTAACACACAAAGACGTTAATTGCGGAAAGTTCTTTACCAAACATATTGTGGCTGCTTAAGACACAAAATTAATTTCTCTCTGAAGTCTTTTTAAAAAACTCTAGTATATATTATAATTGCCCCTAATTTTACGTATTTAAGTATAAAGTCATGCTGTATCACTTGCTAAATGACATATATAATTGCTTTAAGACAGTAAAGGTGGACCAAAGTCATTATAAAAGATTCTACAAGAGTACAACCAGCCATGGAAAATGGTAAGAGGTCAAAAGAAAGAAAGAGGGGAAGGAAGGAAGGAAGGAAAGGAGGGAAGGAGGGAGGAAGGATCGATCCTATTTATACATAAGACAAAAGGAAAAAAAGGAACATGATCTATTTTTATTCTTAAACTATATTCTAAAGAGTATCAACGATGAACTAACTATTCTATATCCCATGCAGTGTGGGGCTTGAACTCAGGATCCTGAGATCAAAACCTGAGCTGAGATCAAGAGTTGGACACTTAACTGACTAAGCCACCTAGGTGCCCTCCACGCAACTTTTGAATGTTCTGCGGATTAAACTCACTATAAATACAAACTAGTACAAGTTATATCAAAAATTTATAGAAAGTTATCTCCAAATTATTGAAAGATATAGTTTCCTACTTAAATTATCATGTAATATTCAAATACTAATTTAGCTGAAAAGAGTTTCAGAGCCACAGTGCTGATACTGCAAAATAAACAAAATAACCTGCAAGTGTATAATAGAGTATTTATAAGATTTAGAACCAAAAATGTAATCATCTTAATAAATTTCCTTAATAAGTTACATAAATATTTCAAAACATTCACCCTATACAATGAAATTATGTAATTTTTGAGCTATTGACTTTTTTTTTTTTTTAAAGATTTAATTTATTTGTTAGAGAAAGAGGGAGAGAGAGAGCACAAGCAGGGGGAGCTGCAGGCCGAGGGAGAAGCAGGTCCCTGCTGAGCAAGGACCCCATTGCGGGACTCAATCCCAGGATGCTGGGATCATGACCTAAGCCAAAGGCAGACGCTTAACGGACTGAACCACCCAGGCCTCCCTCTTTTTTTTTTTTTTTTTAAAGACTATTGTCCTTTAATAGGACTCTGATACTGTCCTTAAGAGATCACATATGACTTCTGTTATTAAGTACTAGAGACTGAATGCAGGCTTCAATAATAATGGAATCTCATTCAAGTTAGAAGATACATTTTTTTCCTAATATTTTGTCACTATCAAAATATAGAAACTGTTTTGATAACAATTATTAAGAAGGCTCAGATCATTTTTAAAAATGTCACATTTCCCCATTTTTTTCAAGTCAACAATGTTTAGGCATAATTTGGTTAGGCATGTTATTCCTTTGTCAGTTATTTCTCCCTTTCATTTACCATATTCAAATAAACAGGGTCTGGTATTTCCTGTCCCATGTAGCACCGCATGGCCTGCTCTCTCACCTCTAGAACAGAGTAGCTCGTCATCTTATTTCTTTTAAATGCAAACATATTAATCAGATGTGCAGCTGTTTGATTACTTTATTATGCATTCTAAATTAGCCATCCCAGAACATGTACATGTTGAAATACTTGTTAATGAACTAAAATATTTCAGCCAGAGCCGTTGGGATGAGATATTTTAAGAATTCAGAATTTTTTTGGACTTCAAAGTATATTAAGTAACACCACCAGTAGGGTCTGGAGCAGCAACCTGTGATCAAACACACGAATATTTTTGCAGCAAAACATGAATTCGCCAATTGTATAAAGACTATAATTAGCTTCATGTCAATTAAAATTAGGTTTTGCTTTCAAATAAATCTATGCCTGACTTAGGAAAAATGTTTGGTTTTAAAAATGTCTTAGATTTCAGAAATGGAATAAATGATTGTGGACTTTTACTTTATTTTCATTTTATATTACATTCACATTTATTCCCTAAACATTATATGTATGGACAGATAATATTCATTATGAATTTTGTTTTTAGATAGTAAGGAGGCATTACCAAGAATTTGATTTGAAAATAAGTATTGAGGTTAAGAGTTGAAAACCAATATTACAATAACTGGATTAGCAACTAGAATAATAAAATGCTAGGGGTCTTTGTAAATAATATAATTCAACCTCCTCCTGCCCTGTGTAGAAAATTTTTCTAATACTATATAGTTATGAAAGTCCTGTTAGGAGAATTTCAGAAAAAAAATTTCTTCCCTACATCTCCGATGATAGCTCTTCACTGTTGCATCCCTTTGTCCCCATTTTCAGACAGCTCTAAGTACTAAAACATTCTTTCTTACACTGATCAAAACTCTTACACCTCTCCAGAATTCTTCCTGATTACAATCAGTTCTGATGTCTAGATCATGTAAAAATAAATCTAATACTTCTTTCACACAACAGCCCTTTAAATATGTGAACACCGGCGTTACTAAGTCTCTTCAGCATCTTCTTATACTAGGCCAAAGATACAGTTCACATTGATCATACATTAACATTTCAGGATTTTCACACTCTTCCTCACTCTGTCATCTTCCCTGGACATACTAATTTGCCAATGTACTTCAATAAAATGTGGTAACTAAAATTAATTTAGTCTTGTCAGAGCAGTATACAGCATATGGCTTTTACTTCTCCTGGTGTAGAACTGAAATTATACTTGTATTAATGAAGTCTAACTTGTTTTGCAGTATAAGTTTTGGGTGGAGCTTAAATAAGATACTATAAGCTTATAAACTGTAAATTTAAACTACAATCTCACATAAAATAGAGCAAACTTCAGGGCTGGGTGATTTAGTAACACACTGAAATCATTAGGGATCAAACTTACTGCTCTTTTTCCTTTCTCACAGCTCTGCTATTCCTACTGTTGACTTCACATTAAGGCACATTTCTTTTATCATAAGAAGAAGCAATCTAGGTTCTCCCAGTGTGCGTCTCCCTCAATCATGAAATAAGAATTCTTTCCTTTAGTTTGAGTAGGCCAACTTCAGTCACATGACTACATCTAAGTCAATAACTAACACCAAGGTAATGGTCACAGGCAAGATGACTTAGGCCTGGTTCCTGAATCAACTGAATTATCAAGGAGAATGGGATCATTTCTGACTGAACTAAACTAATCAGGCCCTAGCAGTGAACTGGGGTCAATTCCCCCAAAACACAGTGCAGCTACAAATGAAAAAGTGATGGAATGGATTCTGGGGAGTTCAAAGCAATTTACACTTACACTTTTGGTACTATGCCTCACCTCTTCAAAGTATAAGGCCACACTTTCGACAACTTCAAAGGCCATTAACAAAACAGACTGTCTAACTTAGTAAACATTTTCTCTGTTCACTTTTACTAGTCACATTTCAGACCCTCCTTCTAAGGTCATTTGTTATCTCCCTGATATGTATCTTTTTAGATATTCTTTATTTAGTGAAGGTCTCCTAGTACTCAACACTCTCAATTTTATTTGAAAATGTCTGTATTATATCCTCATTCTTGAAAAATAATTTCACTGGGTATACAGCAATGGGTTGACAGATTTATCTTATTAGCACTTTGGAAATATTATCCCACTGTCTTTGGCTTCCATTGCTATTGATGTCATTCTGTTGCTCCTTTGTAGGATGACTTGCCTTTTTTTCTTGGGGAATTTCTAATATTTTCTCTAACTTTGGTATTTTGCAATTGCATAATAATATTCTATTTGGTATGTATTGTGCTTTCTGTATCTGTAGCTTTGTCTCATCAATTACGGAAAATTCACAGCACTATTTCTTTCAATACTGACTCTCCTACGTTCTATTTTTTCCTGGAGTTCCAACTAGAGGTACATTAAATTTTCTAAGTATTTTCCTCACATTTTTGAACCTCTTCAACATTTCCTATAACTCTTTATGTGTTGCATTCTGGGTAATTTCTTCAGCTCCCATCTTTCAATTCAACAACTCTCTCTCCACAGATGGACCAAAGGCTTACTCTCTGATCAGCTCTAATACTACTAGTAAAAGCTTCAAGGTCACCACTAGCTTTCAGGTTTGCTACTTAATCCCTGGTTTCAATTCCCTGTTCATGTTTCTTTGTTTTTGCTGCTTTTTTGCATTTTTGAGAAAGCAGCAATGCATTTAAAATGTGTTTGTTGTCACTTATCCAGGATCTAGTATTACTGTAATGGGAGGGCCTTCAAAGTATATAGACCGTAATAGTGCTGAAAGGGAAAGTTAATACTAACAATTCTTTTTTTTAAAGATTTTGAGAGAGAGAGAGCATGTGCCCACACAAGCAGGGGACAGGGGCAGAGAGAGAGAGAGAGAAGCAGGCTCCCTGCTGCACAGGGACCCTGAGATCATGACCTGAGCTGAAAGCAGATGCTTAACCGACTGAGCCACCCAGGCACCCCAAGACTAACAATTCTTAACAAGATTAACAATTCTTTAGCAATCACATCAAACTTTGCCTGTTGTTTGAAGTATAGCCAACTATTTCCCCCTTGGACTTATCCATAACCATTGGTCAGATCAAGCCACCCTAGGCCATGGTAGTGCAACTGACATTTGGTTCCTAAAATAAAGTCTGTTTATCCCTAACACAAGTTTGTTCTTTGTTAATGACAGGGAACAATATTATTATGTATTAGATGAGACAAAGAAGATGGGAAGGGGAAAAAAATCTACTTCGACGAAGTTTTCTCCATATAATCTCCTTACATTTCCTTACATCTTCCCAAAGTTACTTGGAGAAACTTCCTTTGAGACTAATAGATAAAAGTTATCACAGAATATTTAGTCAAAGAACAACTCAATTATTTATATACCAATGAAGTTCTCCCCTTGTACTAATATTCACTTTAAAACAACTGTGTAAATTTGTCCATTACTAGCCTAAACCTATTATCAATTATAGTAATAATTCTGTTATATTAAAGAATATCGAGTTTTTAAACACTAATTGTTTTATACAAAGACTTTTTTTTTTTTCATATCTTTTATTTTTAAAGAATAATGATTCCAGGGACGTCTGGGTGGTTCAGTTGGTTAATGGTCCAACTCTCAATTTCAGCTCAGGTCATGATCTTGGGGTCATGATATGAAGCCCTGCATGGGGCTCTGTGCTCAACAGGGAGTCTGCTCATCCCTCTCCCACTGCTCCTCCCCCCTGCTCCCTCTCTATCTCTAAAATAAATAAAATCTTAAAAACAAAAACAAAAACAGTGATTCCAAACCCTATTACTCTAAAAATATAGTTTCACAAACACTAACATCATTAGTGCATTCTTAATTTTCCGTCAGAACCCCTAGAATTAATGTTAATTCAAATTTTTCTTGTCTGTAATTTACTACCACATATCATATCAAAGCTATTAACTGGAAAAACTGCTATTGAGATTATGGTTCTCACCTTAATGTTTTCAAAACTTCAACTGGACACTTCTGATGAAGGGTAAAATCTTTAAAAAATGAACAATGGTTCACTGATTTTTGGCCTGAACATTAGCCCCAAAACTCAGCTCAGTCTATAGCTATTAGAATAGATATAATCAGACATTTTAAAATTTTAAATTCTTCACAGATGTACAATTTCAGATCCTTTCAATATTACAGAAACACAGAGAATAAAGAAATGTAGATCTATACTGGGGAAACTAGTATAATTTGTTTACAACTACTGAAGAAAACTCCCCTAATAGGGTTAATGGAGATTTTGTGTTATGAAGTGATCACAAAAATTGTATTATCTTGTTTCATAATAAGCAGAGCCACAAATAAATAAGACTGTATACTTTAAAGAACATTCAACAGATAACCAAACTCAGGTCATCTCTAAACACTGCTTTAAAAAAAATTATAATGAAAAGAGAACAGTTATTATCTCTGTATCTGTGCACTCAATACAGCAGTGAAGTACAGAAAGTATAGAGAAAACTAGACAGAAACATACCACTAAGATACTTCAACAAGATCTTCTCAAACCAAGAGATCAAGTAGACAAAGATATTAAAAATACAAAAGATCAAAACAACAGAGGTTTTAGATATACTCTAGAATCTGAAAACTAAAAAAGTAGAAAATACTCCTTCTTTTCAAGCACACACGGAAAATTCAGATAAACTGACCATATCTTAAGTCACAAAGAAAATCTCATTAAAGTTAAAAAAATAGAAATATAAAGAGTAATAACACAGAACTTATTTTTTTTTATTCAAAATAACACACACATAACAAAAAGTTCTTCAACCTGAAAAATTTAAAACATGCAATTAAAAGATTATTGGATCATGGGTGAAATCCAAACCTAAAGAGGAGAATTTCTTGAAAATAATGATCATGAAAACATGACATATAAAATCCATAAATTCAGCTAAACCATTTATCAGAGTTTAAAGCATTAAATACTAATATAAATCAAATGAAAACAAATGCTCAACCAATTCAACAAAGAAAAGGAATACAGCAAACCAAAGAATAAAAGAAATAGAATAAAAGAAAAAACAAACGTATTAGAAAAGAGAAAGAACTAATATAAATCCAAAAGCTAACTCTTTGGGAAAAAAAAAAGAACAACAAAAAAATAAAAACCAACAACAACAAAAAAAGAATACTGGCTTACCTAATTAAGAAAAGGGAAAAAAGCGTTAAGTATCTAAAATCAGATATAACAAAGTAAAAACAGGCTTTAGAACGAAGAAAAATAAAGAAAAACATGAGATTTCTTCACACAACTCTATGCAGTTTAAAAACCCAGAGGAAATAATTTTTTAGAAAAATACAATGACTTTTGAAAGTCAAAAGTCCACTTCAAGAAAGTCAAAAGTCCACTAATTTCCACATTAAAAAAATAGTTAAAGGACTTTTCATAAAACAGTACCAGATTCAGTTGGTTTCACATGGGAATTCTACCAAACCGTTAAAGAGCAGAAAATCCCAACATCACTTATGATAGTCCAGAGCAAAGAATTAGTAATATTTTGTTATTATACAGTACTTGGACTACCTGTGAAATACTACAGTGTTATGAGAAAGGAGACTTGAATTGTAAACTTACACTGCAAACTCTAGTGAAACCACTAAAAGAAGTAAAAATAAGTAAACCAATATGTTAAAAAAGGAGAGAAACTGGAATAATATAAAATGTGTGATTCAAACCATAACAGGCACAAAAAGAGTAGAAGACAAAACAATAGGAACAAAGAACTATGGTAACAAACTATAACAAATGTAATAGACATTAATTCAACTATATCAATACTTTCTTTAAACATCAATGGACTACATCGATTAAAACAGAAACTATCAGGGGCGCCTGGGTGGCTCAGTCAGTTAAGTGGCTGCCTTCAGCTCAAGTCATGATTCCGGGGGTCCTGGGATCAAGCCCCACTCAGGCTCCCTGCTGGGTGGGGAGTCTGTTTCTCCTTCCTCTGCCCTTGCCCCCAGCTTGTGCTCTCTCTTGCACTCTCTCTCAAATAAATAAAAGTTACCAAAAAAAAAAAAAAACCCAAAAAACAAAAATGGACTGTCAGAGTGGACCAAAAACTAAGACCCAAATACATGTTGTCTACAAGAAACAACCTTAAATATGAAGACACATACAGAGTAAAAGGAAAGAGATGGAGAAAAATATACTATGCTAGTATTAATCAAAATAGAGTGGGAATAAGCTACATTAATTTCAGACAGAGCAGACTTCAAAGCATGTGAAGTTACCAATGACAAAAAGAGGCATACCATAATGATAAAGGGGTCAGTTCTCCAAGAAGACATAACAATCCTTAATATATATGTGCCTAACAACGGAGTGTCAAAATATGTATGGTAAAAACTGATAATACAACTGCAAGGAGAAGAATGATCCACAATTACAGCTGGAAATTTTAACACCCCTCTGTCAAAAATGGATACATCCAGCAGGCAGAAAAACAGTAAGAACATAGTTGAACTCAAAAGCACCATCTGGGACGCATGGGTGCCTCAGTCGGTTATGTGTCTGCCTTTGGCTCAGGTCATGATCCCAGGGTCCTGGGATCGAGCCCTGTATTGAGCTCTTTGCTCAGTGGGGAGCCTGCTTCTCCTCCCTCTGCCTGCCGCTCCCCCTGCTTGTGCGCTCAATCTCTCTCTCTCTGACAAATAAATATATAAAATCTTTAAAAAAAAAAAAAAAAGCATCACCAATCTACTGGAAACAACTGACATCTGTAGACTACTTCATCCAACAACAGCAAAATACACACTTTTCTCAAGCTCATGTGGGACATTCACCAAAATAGACCATATTCTCAACGATAAAACACACTTCTAAAAGAACAGAAATCATACAATGTCTGCTTTCAGACTACAATGTATTTAAACTAGAAATCGGTAACAAAAAGATAGCTGAAAAATCCCTAAATATGTGGAGCTCAAGCAACACACTTCTAATTAGTACACGGGTCAAAGAAAAAGTCTTGGGGCACCTGGGTGGCTCAGTCATTAAGCATCTGTCTTCAGCTTAGGTCATGATCCCAGGGTCCTAGGATCGAGCCCCACATCGGGCTCCCTGCTCGGCGGGAAGCCTGCTTCACCCTCTGCCACTCCCCCTGCTGCTTGTGTTCCCTCTCTCACTGTGTCTCTGTCAAATAAATAAATAAAAAATCTTAAAAAAAGAAAGAAAAGAAAAAAATCTCAAGAACAATTTAAAAATATTTCAAACTAAATAAAAATGAGGTGTGCCTGGGTGGCTCAGTTGGTTGAGCAATTTGACTCTTGATTTTTGGCTCAGGACATTATCTCAGGGTCATGGGATCAAGCCCCATGTGGGGCTCCGTGCTCAGCACAGTCTGCTTGATTCTCTCTCCCTCTGCCCCTCCCCCCACTCATGCAAGCACACGCACTTGCTCTCTCTAAATAAAATCTTAAAAAAAATAAAAATGAAATACAACCTATCAAAATTTATAGAATGCAGTGAAAGCAGTGTTTGAAGAATAATTTATAACATTTCTAAAGATCTAAAATCCATAATCTAAGCTCCCACTTGAAAAAACTGGGAAAAGAAGAGCAAATTAAATCTGAAGTAAGCAGAAGAAAAGAAATAATAAAAATTAGAGCAGAAATCAATGAAACTGAAAACCTAAAGCCAGTCTTTGAAAAGATCAATAAAATGGGTAAGCCTCTAATCAGCCTAACTAAGAAAAAAAGAGAGAGAAGACATAAGTTAGTAATATCAGAAACAAAAAAGGAGACTTTACTACAAATCCCAAGGACGTTAAAAGGATAATAAAGGGATACAATGAACAATGCTATGACCATAAATTTGATAACCTAGATGAAATAGTCTAATTCCTCAAAAAAGACAATCTGCCAAAACTCATAGACAATCTAAACAAGCCTGTATGTAGTAAAGAAATCCAATCAATAATTAATAACCTTCCAAAACAGAAAGCACCAGGCCCAGATGGATTCAAATGTGAATTCTATCAAACATTTAAGGAAGAAATTACAGCAATTCTCTGGTCTTTTTCAGAAAATAGAAGGAGAGAGAATACATCCTGACTCATTCTATGAAGCCAACATAAATACCTAAATACCTAATACAAAAACAAGACAAAGACATTACAATTTTCTTGTAATGACACAGATGTCTCAAGAACATAGATGTAAAAATCCTGAAAATATTAGCAAATCAAGTCCATCAATATATAAAAGAATTACACAACACAACCAAATGGGATTTATACCAAGTATGCAAAAGTTGGTTCAACATTTGAAGTCAATTAATGTAATCCATCACAGCAACAGACTAGTGAAGAAAAATCATATGATCATATCCATGGACATGGATATCCAGTAAAAGCATCTGACAAAATCCAACACCCATTAGTGATAAAAACTCTTAGCAAACTAGAAATAGAGGGGAATGTCCTCAACTAGATAAACTAAAACTTAGGAACTAAATATACTCATACCATACAATCCGACAGTGGCATTCCTTTGTATCTACCCAAATGAATTGAAAACTTGTGTCTACACAAAACCTGCACAAGGACGTTTATAGCAGATTCGTAACTGCCAAAACTTGGAAGCTACCAAGATGTCCAAAAATTAGTAAGAGTAGTTACCTATAGAGAACAGGGTAGAGCAATCAAGAGATAAAAGGTAGACTTTTCAGAATGTAACCTGTTTTGGAGATTTAACTTTGCAGCGATGTAAATGTTTTATGATTAAAAAACAAAGTGAAGGGGTGCCTGGGTGGCTCTCAGGGTCATGAGTTCAAGCCCCATGAAAAAAAAAAAAGGAAAGAAACCCTAAAACAAAAATCAAAATTAAATAAAACAACCCAACTATTGTAACAAATTTGATTTTATATCCCTAATAGATTTCACAGGTATCTCCCTAATGAGATATACCCTAAGAACTACAAAGAAACCTTAAACTGTTCTCTGTGATCTTATTATTAATGATATTATTGTTAACTGTTATTCTGGAACTGTTAAACATAAGATAAAGCAATTGAATGTCAACAGGGACTAATAAAATATTAGTGTGCATACAATTACTAAAAATAGTGCTAAAAATTAGTTGTCTATGATATGAGCCTACTATACAAAAGGGGCCACAATCCAACTCGTTCTCTTCCCCATCTTAATGTCATGGAAAGCTTAGTTAGGCTTAACATGTCCCCTCCACTCATTCTTTTGGTCATCAAATCCTATTGACTCTACCTCAAGATTCTGAGTTAAATTTAATTCCACTGTGTTAAATTTGGTTTGGATTGTCCAGAGCAGCCCTTTACAACACAAATATAACACATATGTAATTTGGGATGTTATTGTTTCTATATTAAAAGGAAAAAGAAACAGGGAAAATTAAAATTCTGGTAACATATTTTACCTAACCCAGTATATCCAAAATATTGCCATTTCCAACACATAACATAAAAATTATTAATGAGCTATTTGGCTTTTATTTTACATATTAAGTCTTTGAAATTCAGTATGTATTTTACACTTACAGTACATCTCAATTCAGACTAGCCACATTTCAATTGTTTAACAGCCTCACTGGAGCACAGACCCTAGGCCACCAGGGGTTCTCAATACTGGCTACACATCAGGATCACTTTTCATTTATTCAGTAAGTGAACTTACTAATTCCAGGGTCTGGAGGTGAATCTATGAACAAGAAGAGATTCCTGGCATACAAATCTCTTTTCTCTTGCCAAACCCTGACTGATACATTAAGACTATTCACAATGTGATCTACCTAATCTACCTCTTCAACCCTCACCTCAAATTCACATGCTGTAATTTCTATACGTTAGGCACAGAGAGTCACAGTTTCTCAAACACACTAGTCCTTTAAAACTCTTTACTGTTGCTGTGTTGGTTTTCTCCTCTTTCTAAACTTTCACTACCCTGTCTTTCCCCCCACCTACCCTTCCAACACTCAGTGCAAATGTCATTTCCCTCTGTAAAATGTTCTCTGGTTCCCCAGGCAGTTATTTATTCCTTTCACTGTGTGTTTTGCTCATCTCTCTCTGTCATGCTATCATACTCTACAGAATTACAATTTATCTATTTATGAATTTGTCTCCCGACAAGATCATGGGTTATCAACCTCAAAACTCAAACACACTGGAGCTGAATTCAGTGGCAGAGAAGGGGTAGAATTACAGTTAGTTTGTATCTTAACTTAGCTACGCTATGTTATTTAACCTGTAGCTGCCCCT